AAAAGTTTCCAACGTCCGTGCACGCGGCGCGCGCACACCTAATGTGTAATGGACGTGAACAATCACTCGAAGAAGAAATAACTCTGGTGCGGGGGGCATGGGGAGCTTGGCGGGCTGCAGCAAATAACACTGCGGGCGGCATGTTTGAGATCCCTGCTTTACTTCCTCATACTGGCTCTCTAGTCATCCATAGAGACTTCCAGGGGAAAAAAAAGAATAGAAAATACTTAAATTTCTTATGTTAAAAAAAAGTATATGGAACTTCTCTTCTTCCAGGGCTTTCAGACCTTTCTACATCAGAAAAAGCAACACCCAGTCTTCTCCGCCTTTGCAGGCCATCTTTAAAACAAAGCAGCAAACAGATGCTCATGCTCCATCACTATCAGTGTCCTTCCCCCTTTCTGTGAATTGATCGAAAATGGCTTTGTGCAGAAAGATTTGGTTGAAGCACGCCACCTTGCCCAGGAAGAGCCTGTGTGCTGCAAACAGGTGGCTTTGCCTGTCTGCTTGGCACAGTGCCGCTGAGCATACTGAAGCTCAATGAAGCACAGAGGTAGGCGACCATGGGAGCCAGGAGACACTTGCAACAGTTACTGTTTAAGTCAAGGCCCTCTCACCCCAAGGGACCCATTTTCACATAATCTATAATTATCTCTTCGCTTTAATCGCCTCATCACTTTGGAGGCTCTCCTGGGCACAGGAAGAGGAAAAGCTCATTAACTGAACCTTTTCTCCTCTCTCCAGCCACCCATAGCTTTTAATTGCTTGGTGTTGTTATTATTTATCAGTGCAACTGGGATCATTTTCATAAGAAAAGGTGGTGGGAGGAAGGGAGGCAGGCATGTGTCCCCGAGGTATACACCACAGACAAACCTTTGCTTTCTCAATTATTTATGCCAGCTGAGGTTTTACAGGCTGAATAAATCCATAACTCAAGTTTATTCTGAAGAGTCAGGTTTCCTCTGGGGAAGTGTTGCCCACTTGCCTGCACACTAGTGTGCTGTCCTCAGAGAGCATTCCGGACGTAATAAGACATGTGTCATCCAATTCCCCCACCCCTCACAAAAATGCACGTGCAATTTTGTAGATTAGCAGCATTGTAGGATGAGAAGCAGCAGTTTAAAACCCAAACAGTGGCTGCCATTTAACAATATCATTTCTCCCTGTGACAGAGGACCATGGCCTAAGGATGTCCTTTGCTAGCTTAGATTTGAAAATCAACTCAAGCCATATGGGGGGGTTGGGGAGGGCAGAAGTGGGTGCACTAAAACCTAGAGCAAACCAACAAAAATGTCAGTTCAATAGCCTTAAAACCATATTCTCATTACAAGTAACATTTGTCATATGAAAGGGGGAGTGTCTAAACAACACTAAGTTTAAAAAAAAAAAAAAAACACCCAAAGCCTGCCTAAATTGGTGGGTGTTTTGTTTCTGAGCAATTGCTCTTATTTGCAATAGGGCTGTACATGCTGCAGCTTGCTTGGTTTTCTCCAATCAGAGGAGCTCTTTCAGAGGGAATTTATAGCCCAACATTTGTGTGAGTGACAGACAACTGTGCTGCATCCATTCTGCATGCACACACATCATACCAATAAGAGCCCTTAATTGCCAACGAACCAAGAACAGTCAGTCAGTCAAATTTTGATACTTAATTCTACAGTTTTATGATCAGTTAAGATTAACGCATTCCCAAAGAACACCACACACACTCTTAAATCACTGGGATGTTTTCAAAATCCATTATTGTGAAGAAATAGCAACTTTACAAGTCTATGGTGGAAGCAACTCTTTAAAATTCCGCAGGCCTTTGTGTCTGACCACATCGCAGTGACCTCTGGTATTTTCTGCCAAAACAGTTCATTTGTCTCTCAGAACAACTAATCAATTCCAGAGCCCATCAATCATTCCAGTTTTGCCCTAGTGTGGTCTAGCACAGTGGGGGCCAGATGGCTGCCTCTCTTCAGGGGATTAATAAAATTCTGATGGTTTATGTGGCATCAGATGGACTACAAAGCATGATGGGGACTATCAAATCTTTGCACAGGAGAAGGCGGGGATAAGAAAGTGTAGCCCATCATTTGCTGACATTTTAGTTCTTGCTCTATGTCCAGTTCCTAACCTTATACCCTAAGCCATTAAATCAGGGCCTCCTAGGAAGTACATAGAGCTCAGAAGTCCCCTCTTTCCCTCAGAACATGCCAGGTGGGGATTTTTGTTAGAAAAGGGCATCCTTCTTAAATATCCCTCGCTACAATCCAAATTTAACTCGGTTCACAGATTTTTAGTGTTATCAAACTTGTATTTCTAATTTAATTTATTCATTCAGAAATGATGAATCAGGAAACTGAAATCTGAGAAAACCAATGCTCAAGAAACACATCTGCCACTAAGTTAAGTTGCCTGCCTGCACATCTATGAGGAACTATTTATTTTAAATGAAAAAAAGTAGCCACATAGCAGCATTAAATTATTTTCAGATTCCTGGCCAGTCTCTGCAATGACAATGCTTCCACTTACCTGTTGCTGGAAATACTAAGATGTAAATTACTTTTTGCTGATATAAAAAATATCAAACAGCAAAAAATGTACAGTGATTATTTGCAGTTCTACAGTATTTTTGATGTGGTCCCTCATTTTGTATCTTACATAAAAGATTTTTTGCTGGTGACATAGCAGGCAAACTTACTTCAGCGTTTATTAACCAAGCTTCTGAAGCTTCAATTGCAACTGTTTGTTGACAAATGAGTTCAATTTTGTATTAGTAAGGAGAGTTTAGAAAACAGAAGATGGAAATAATGCTTGTGTTATATGAAGACAGGAAACATCACAATCACTAATATTATTTCACAGGGTTTGGAATCACAGAAAATTTAAAATGTAAAATTCCTCTTCATTCAAGAGGAAACTTCCAGTTCTATCACGATTCAACAATGGGTGTTATTTTTCTATAATGCCCAAAGTGTGCCTGGCAATTTACAAACAAAGAAAAGGAGACACAGTTCCTACCCTGGGGGTTTGTGATCTCAACAATGTAGTGTGGCAGCAACTGTTCTACATTGGGGGGGCACTCCTGCTCATTATTGACATGATTATTAATGCCTCCTCCGGGAGGACAATACCACCCCCAAACAGATAAAAGCTAATCCTTACCACAAGAAACCTACTTTTGTTATTAAGGGCTAATCTACACACATATAAATACATTGTTTAATTGAATCAGTTTCTAAACTGATCTAAATAAAGGAGTCAATTTCCTTGTGTGGACATTCTTAAATCGGTTTAGAAACTGGCTGAGTTAAATCAGTTGATGTTTGTATACGTAGGCTTGGCCTAATATTTTTCTGTTTTTCCATTCTGCCTCAAATCTTCCCTTTGAGGCAAATCATTGAGAAAGTTGGAACAAACCAACACCAGCAACAGCTCAACTCTTCTAGCTTCTTACATCCTTGTCTGGCTTTAGTCCTGGACACGACAAGGCAATTGCATATCGGCCAACATTTTCAAACTTGAGTGCCTAAAACTAGACACCTGATTCTATACTAGGCACTTAAATATGGATTTAGATGCACACCTTTAAATACTCAATTTTGAAAACACTGGCTTTATTTCTTTAGCTGATGACCTTTTGTTGACGTACATTAGTCCATGATGATTCTGTTAGATCTTTCAACAGCTTCTGATACAGCTGATCACAAAGTACTGTTGATTTGTCTTCAACTCCTTTTAACAGCAGATGGGTGTGATGGATTCGGTCACAGAGACCCCCTTGGGACTGTCACCTGATGTACTGAGACTACCTCTGAGCCTGTTTTCTCTGCCAGTTTTGGCCTCCAGAACCCTGCCTTGTTGAGCCAGACATGCCAGTCTGCTCTATCACAGACCCAGGGTCTAAACACGCACCCCAAAGCTGCAGACTTAACTGAAAACAGCTTAAGAAGTGCTCCTGTCTCCAGCACCCAGACACCGAATGGGATCCAAACCCCAAATGAATCCGTTTTACTCTGTATAAAGCTTATACAGGGTAAAGTCATAAATTGTCCGCCCTCTGTAACACTGATAGAGAGATATGCACAACTGTTTTCTGCCCCAGGTATTAATCACTTACCCTGGGTTAATTAATAAGCAAGTAATTTTATTAAGTATAAAAGGTAGGATTTAAGTGGTTTCAAGTAATAACAGATAGAACAAAGTAAGTTACTAAGTAAAATAAAACAAAATATGCAAGTCTAAGCCTAATACATTAAGAAACTGATTACAGATAAAATCTCACCCTCAGAAATGTTCCAATAAGCTTCTTTGACATACTGGACTCCTTCCTAGTCTGGGCCCAATCCTTTCCCCGGTAAGCTTATTAGCTCCAGCTCAGGTGGCAAGTAGGGGATTTCTCATGACTGGAACCTCCTTTGCTCTGTTCCACCCCCTTATATAGCTTTGGCAAAAGGCGGGAATCTTTTGTCTCTCTGGGTCCCCACCCCTCCTTCTAAATGGAAAAGCACCCAGTTTAAGATGGATTCCAGTACCAGGTGACATGGTCACATGTTCTGTGAGACCCCCAGCCTCCATTCTTCCTGGCCTGACTCACAGGAAGGCTTGCAAGTAAACAGAGCCATTTACAACCAATTGTCCTAGTTGATGGGAGCCATCAAGATTCCAAACTACCATTAATGGCTCACACTTTACATAATTACAATAGGACCTCAGAGTTATATTTCATATTTCTAGTTTCAGATACAAGAATGATACACTTATATAAAAATAGGATGACCACACTCAGTAGCTTATAAGCTTTATAATGATACCTTACAAGAGACCTTTTGCATGAAGCATATTCCAGTTACATTATATTCACACCATTAGCATATTTTCATAACATCATATGGAGTGCAATGTCACAATGGGATTCATTTATTGTTGCTCCATTCGTTTCTTCTTGAGAAGACAAAAGGTTGTGATGGGGAACAGCTCGTTTTCCCATATGGATATTGCATGCAGGCTACCATGGGCTTCAGTGGTACGGGCTTGAAGTAGTACTAACAACTCAATACATGGTTTCCGCTTTCAGTGCCCCAACTATAAAAATTGTTCCAGCACTCCTGAAGGGTTCCATCTTGTCACTCAGTTTCTGGTCAGTGAGTATATATGGATGCTGCTTGGCAAGATGGTGAGGTTTTGGGCTTCAGAGCCATTTGCTTATCATACTCAGCTACACGTCTATCTTCTCATTAAAACTGGATTCCTTTCTTTTCCAAGCATGCTAGCGAAGTTAGGGTCCTGGATGAAGGCTAGATGGCTTGTTTGGATAGTTCTGAAGATAAAGGGGATACTGGTGGCAGAGTAGGTTCATTTAAATCACTTTAAATCCCAAGTTTTAATCATGATTTAAATCAGCAAGCAGGACACCCTGATTTAAAATAACCAATTATAATCTTGTTTTGCATTTATTCTTTTTAGCTATTTTCCTAAAGAAAGGCTGATTCTCATTACCTTTGGTAACTATTAAAACATGTTTTTGATAGCCTGAAGTGTCTTGTACCATCTGCATTTGACCATGGAGATTGCAACTTTTCATCTCTATTCTGGTTTCCTGGCACATAAACAAGCCTGTGTCACCTCAGGCAGGACTATTGTGATACATTCTATTTAAGACTACCTTTGAAGGCCATTCAGAAGCTTCTGACAGGGCAGAATGCAGTACCTGCCTCTTAAGTAAACACCTGCATTCTCCACTGGTACCCAGTCTGTTTCCGGGTACAAGTCTAGATACTGGTTATGTAAGAAGCACTGACTTTGGTTTTTGGCTAGCTCAGAGCTTCCCTTTCCCCTATGTCTTTGGCAGCAGCTGAATTCTAGGGAGCATATGGTAGGACATTCTGTAATTTTTTTTTGCTTCTTGTGGCTAGACAGAAACTAAGTTTGGTGAGAGTTATATTGTGGTGATGATGATGATGATGATGATGGATTCAATAAAATGCATATTCTACATGAGTTGACTTTTTTTCATATGTTAGGACTCTGCAAATACTTACATATGTGCTTAGCTTTGAGCATGTGACTAGCCCTACCAAAGTCAATGGCACTAATTTATGTGCTTAAATTAAGTTTGTGCTTAAGTATTTGCTAGATCAGGGCATTAAATTGTTCTTTTCCCCCATACAACTCCACAACCAGTTACAGCTCTTCCACAATAGGCTTGTGTGTCTTGCACTGAGAAACACCACATTATCTGCACATAGTTGCCTATGAAATTGAACACTGCAAAGAAATTACTGCCTTTGGTGTGCAGTAGGAAAATACAAATTTCACCATACTGTATAATTGCATTCACATTTTAAAAACAGGGCTGGTCACTGAACATTTGACACAAGGGCAAGACATAAGAATCTAGAACTAGGAGCATCCATGGAACAGAAAATTTACAGAATGTATTTTGATTCTTCCCCTTCGCATACAAGATGTCCTAAAAAAAAAACAAAAAAACCCCAACCACTCAAATTCTCAGGCAAGGTGATGCTACCCAGTACCAACCCCACTTTACTGTGTCACCTTGATACAAATCAATGGTCAAGCTTCCATGTCTTCACTTGCCTAATATGCCACTGCCATCTTTCTTAGGCCTGGTCTATGCACAATTTTTTTATTGTTATAACTATGTCACTTAGGAAAATGAATGCAATATAATTATACTGGTACAATCCCTAGTGTGGATGTTGCTATAAATGTGGTTGTACCAAGATAATTTATGCCCATATGCAAAGGGAAATAAGATGCACAGGTATGAGCACACATATACCAGTATAACTATGTCCACACTTGGAGCTGTACCACTTTATACCAGTATAATTAAAATGGTACAACTTGTGTGTGCAAGAAATAAAAATATTCTGTAAAAGGTCAAGAAGAACACTCTGGAAGCACAACCACTAGCATGCTGCTTAGTATTATTAGATGTATTGCAGAAAACATTCCTCAGGGTAAATTTTATATTTGAAAAATATTTATTGTTGCATTTATTTGTAAATTCTATGTGAATGAAGTATTCCTGGGGAAAAAAACAAAAAACCCATTGCTCCATGTGTACCAAAAAGAGATTTAGACTACTTAAACCAACTAGAATTATATTTTCTACTACTACTATATATGATGAACCACAAGAATAAGAGGGGAGAATAAGAGAAGCAGTAATCCATGCAGCCTACTACTCTGACAGGGTTATGGAGTTAAACCTACTTGAAGCTCAACACCCAGCATTGACTAGTTGGTTTAAGTGTCTAATGTGCCACTGTGGCTCAGTGAGTAGCATTTTTATCTCTAGGTCAGGTGGTCATGAGTTCAAGGAACTGGGTTCAGACTTAATGTTGGCAGAACAAGACAAAAGTAGAGCAGTTTGCCAGCATCTAGAAGTGCTATTCTTCAGATGATATGCAAACCAAGGTCACATCTGTCCATCTTTGGTGAATGTCTAAATGGAAGTTAAAGATCTGTTGGCTCTTTCTGAAAAGAATAGAGAGATAACCCTGGAGTCCTGGCCAGCTTGTTCATTTCTCAGTAAAATAGGATGCAATGCCCAAGGAAGTGTTTGAACTACCGGTGAGTGCAAAATTGTTGTGGGTTTGCTTGTTCAAACACAACACTATCAATATCCAGCTCAGTGCCCTGTACAGCACTTTGGAATCATCCATTTATGAGTTATTTTTCATTGCAAATCACACAAATGCCATGTTACAGTTAAACGCTTTAGAATACCTCCCACTGAAACTGAGATATTTTAGAAAGTCAAAGATCACTTATATTTTGATTTCCTGAGATCAAAATGATGCAAGATACATAACAAAACAGAAAGAGAAAACACACATAACTACATGCTTGCAATGTGAGAGAGCAAACACCACTGTAAGAACCTTTAATTTTGCATTTGCTGACTTTTTTCCGGTTTACCCTGAATTTTAATGTTTCATTCTCATCTATTTTACATTTAATTTTGTTTTATATTTTAGTTCAGAAGTATCTTAGTTGTCAAACAGCAGCCATTCTTGCTTAATAACTGCATTTTTGCTATGCAAGCAGGAGAGGGAAGAATTTAACTTTGATGTAAGACAGGGCTTCCCAATGAAGGTGTACAGTGTCCACTTATAAAATCTTAATTGCTATACACAAATTCAGTATTATTCAAAGAAATAATTGTATTTTGAAAAAACACTTTTTTGGATAACTACTGATAAACACATATTGCCCTCTTGAGCTGTGTAATAGAAGGCAGAAGACATTCTCCCACTCCTACATCTCATGCTAGGGAAGGTTAGTACCTGGGAGCAATACAGACAGTTACTGATTTAAATGACTATGGACCTGAAAAGTTCTTTTCTGTTGTTTATTATCCAGCTGGAGTTGCCACCACACTTGTTTGATGTTAAAAAAAATGCTTAGAAAAATTAAAGTAAGTTAAACTGAAAACATATCAGTGATAAAAGACCAGAAGAGACAGTCACCTGATGGTTTCTTCCTGATACAGCGAGCTGACAACTGGGCCTCCAAACCCAGTTTTTCCTTCCTTTCCGCTTTTCTCTGGTGTCTGAAAGAAAGAATTAGTAGAGTGACATGGCTTTCAGACTCAGTATGCCTCATGCTGTAACTTTGTTTTTTAAGGGCATGGAGGGGAATGGTTCCTTAGGATCCTTCCTCTCTCTTCCCTATCACCATGCTCAAATGCTTCATATCTCTGTTACATCTCAGGGCTCCAAAAATCAATCAATGCTATTCTGAGCACAGTCCAGAGGGAGTCTCCTGAGAGGCACAACAAGGCACCTTCTCTCTCTCTCCCTCCCTCCCTCCTCACAAGAATGAGTCCACTGCCTGCACAGCGCTCTCAGCCTTGGCCACTTAGGACCGAAGTGCTAATCCTTTGGGAGGCAGCGTAATGTCATGTTACTAGCAGGGCGGGTGCAAGGATGTTTCGCACCCTAGGCGAAACTTCCACCTTGCGCCCCCCCCCCCCCCC